GATGAACTTATCCAATTAATGACCAAACCCCCAGTACTTGCTATTCCGAACAGTACAGGTCACTTCATTCTGGATACTGATGCCTCGGATCATGCCGTAGGCGGGGAACTTAGTTAAGTCCAGAATGGAAGAGAGCGAACAATTGGGTATGGCAGCGCCGTGCTGTCATCCGAGCAGCGCAGGTATTGCACTACTAGAAAGGAGTTATTGGCGGTAATCAAGTTTACCAGACAATTCCGCCATTACCTGCTGGGCAGAGAGTTCACAGTCCGGACAGACCACCATAGCCTGGTCTGGCTGATGAACTTTAAGCATCCGCAAAATCAGATTGCTCGCTGGTTAGAAGAGCTTAGCCAGTACAATATGCTGATAGTACATCGCCCAGGCAAGAAGCACGTGAATGCCGATGCGCTGTCTAGAGACATATCAGACACATGCCAGAGTTACTCTACTAAAATCAGAGTCGAAGATTTGCCATGTGGCGGATGCCGGTACTGCCGCCGAGCACATGAGCGCTGGCATGACTTTAATACCGAAATTGACGATGTAATTCCTCTTTCCCAGCTCTTTGAGGAATCGCCTGTTAGAGCGGAGACGCAGTCCGCTGAGGGGGGTAATTATGAGATGTTAGATCCTACTCTCCGTCAGGCTATTGTGACAAGTACTTGGGAAGATGTTCCGTTGGCAGCAGGTGCCCCCGAACTTCCGAGTTTCGAAATCGCTGTCAATGGGGTGTCGAGTTTAAGTTCCGAGATTGAGGAAGTAAAGCCTCAAGTCTGTCAGGTATCTCAGGGTGACACTGGGGGAATTTCCCTATGTTCTTACAGTCCCGCAGATATGGCTCATAAACAGAACTCAGATGAGGCCATGGTTTACCTGAGACAGTCCTTAGAGACTGGGAATTTACCTACTGAAAATGACCTAATTATCTGTAGTCCGGAAGAGAAATGTTACCTTCTGGAAAGAGACTGTTTTACACTGGACGAGACAGGCGTTATTTGGCGAGAACCGGAAGACTCGGACATGCCTCGTAGACTGTTAGTTCCGAGAAGTCTCAGGTCTGAGGTCATGCACTTATGTCATGACATCCCGTCGTCCGGTCACCAAGGTATACAGAGAACTAAAGAAAGACTTAAGCAACAGTTCTATTGGTGGCGGATGGTAAAGGACATTAAGTTATATGTCAAGACATGCGACATTTGTGCCCGGAATAAGAGGGGTTCTCTGCCGAATAAATCGGAAATGAAAAGCTACCAGGCCGGAAGTCCGATGGAGAGAGTGCACTTAGACTTCCTTGGGCCGCTACCCCGAACAGATAGCGGAAATGAGTATATTCTCATGATGGTAGATAACTTTACCAAGTGGGTCGAGTGCATTCTGCTCCCGTCTCAGACAGCAGAGGTCACGGCCAGGTCAGCCATCAATGATTTCTTTTCGCGATTTGGCTATCCTTATGAAATTTTTACAGATCAGGGCCGTAATTTTGAAAGTGAGCTTTTATGTAAAATCTGTACAATGTTAGGTATTCATAAGGCACGGACCACGCCATACAGACCTTCCGGGAATGGCCAAGTAGAACGGTACAACCGCACCTTAATGGATGCGGTCCGTTGCTATATCGATGGTCAGCCCAAGACATGGGATAGGTTTTTGGGCCCACTGGCTGGGGCATTGCGGTCGGCGGTGAATCGCCACACCGGATATACTCCAAATCGTCTAATGCTGGGTAGAGAAGTCAACATACCAGCAACCTTAATGTTTTCCCCACCCCCTTCGCAATCTTTTCAAAATGGGGAGGAGGGTGAGGTTGACAGGTATGTACGTGATCTGGAACAGAATGTGCAGAGCGCGCATGACATTGCCCGCAAGAAACTGAAGGTCGCGCAGAAGGCAATGAAAAGGTCGCACGACATTAAGATCCGTACCCATAGGTTCAAGGTCGGAGATTTGGTGTATTGGCGCCGCAATGCGGGAAAAAAGGTAGAATCTATCTGGAAGGGTCCTGGGGTAATCATTGAAGCCAAATCTGATACAAAATTTGTCGTCAAATCTCGTCGCGATGTCAAGGTCATGCACCATGACAAGCTTAAGAGGTGTGAGGCCAGGCAACTTCCCAAGTGGTTAGTTACTTATCAGAGTAAGTTGCCAGGACAGTCAGTAAGCCGAGATGGAGATAGTTCCCTTGTGCGCGATGTGGTTAGACCGCTGGTGACTGCGGACTCAGGGTTATGTCCTGGGGACCCGGGGAGTAGGGTTAAGTCAAAAGTCAGCCCTAAACCAGCAGAAACAGTAGGTCCATATCTGGGTACCCGGAAAAGAGTAAGGGAAAGGTCAAAACAACCAGAAAAACCCAAATCGCCCAAACGACCTAGAGCCACTAAGGGGGCTAAGACCCGACAGTATTGTTTATGCCTACAATCCAACCCTAAAGGTTTGATGGTTCAGTGCGCCAGTTGCCGGGACTGGTTTCATCCCAGGTGTGTGGGTATAAGTGAGGATTATGCTAAATCAGTACCTCAGTATACTTGCCCCGAATGCAGTCCCGTCAGTGTTGGCAATCCCTAGGTTAGGATCCCGCAAGGGTGCGGAAGCATGTGTAGCTGTTTCCTAGCGTGATTGTATATATGTTTGTTCTTACTGCTAGGGAAGCAGATCTTTTTAATTATAAAGGGATATTGCCCTGATCTTATGATCGATCCACTTGTGATGTTCCTGACGATTTATTTACCCCGATGTTCCAGGGAGATGAATTGGAGCCAGTTCCAGGATGGGTCGTTCGCGACGGAGTCGCGAACGTGATATCACGTTAGATATCATGTCTGTCCTGGGCTCGGATATCCGGATCCGGAAGTGCCGACCGAAGATGTCACCGGAGGACCACCTGATGAGGGAGACAACGATGGACCCAGTGGTGGACCCGAGCGGACTCGGAAGAGGGATGCCCAGGACCAGACTGATGTGATGTATCCTGTGAACTGTGATATTATTAACTGTTAATTTTTATTAATATTATAGTGTTATTATGGACATTAATGTGTAATTGATTATGTGTAATTGTTTTTAATGTGTTAGGCCCTGCTAGGATTTAATTATTATATTTTATTTTATTATGTACATTATAATTTGTCCCATTGTAACGGGCTGGGACGCCCTTTTTCAAAATGGGGAGGAGTGTGGTGGTCTTGGAGGTACTGGGCACGAATTGCCCTGCTACCTCCAACCACGTGGTGCACGACACGCACCTGCCGTGACGTGTACCTATCCTCGCTCTCTTTTTCTGTTGTCTGCTGCAGAGTACAGACGTGTCTCTGTCAGCTCCGTCATTATTGTATTTGTAGATATTATATAGTATATAGCGGGCACTAATAAATCGCGTATTTTATCATAGTGTTGTCTCTATTCTCGCCATCACCGTACTTAGGTAGTAAGTAGAGTATAGTAGTAGAGAAACGCTATAAAGTGGATAAATTATTTATCAGTTCTACTAATTTTATTGTCATGTTTTTCTTCACTGGAGACAAGCACCCATGCCCTTATACAGGCCAGAATTTCCTATGATATTCTTGACATCACAGAATGCAAATATAAGTAATAAACAACGATTTTCAGTGAACATGGCGTTATGAATAGCAGTAGCTATGCTGGCATATTTTCCATGATGCGCTAGCGCGCATCATAGAATATGCCAGCTGAGCAATTGCTATTCATAACACCATGTTCACTGAATAACGTGGTTTATTTCTTTTATATAGTAACCTCTACTAGTACAATGTCAGTATACTGATCCGATATCAGTGTATTACTTGACAAAACATTAAGTAAAAGGTTGTATGACAAGTATTATCAACTCTAGAAATAATTAGTATAACTATACTGTAGTAGAATCAAAACACTTTACTTTGAATTGAAATTAGTACGACAGATTCATATCCTCCAGACTTTGGTAACAATACACATAAAAATATCTAAAATTCTGATGCACTGATAAATGGTAAAATTTTCCCTTGCACAATAGAGTTTAAATATGTAGATGACATTGGTTGCGTTGAAAGGTGCTTCAACGACAGGTATCGAGGTAAATCATTTTCAGTTTACATAAAAAGTGTATGAATGCAGTGTGTGCAGAATGTAATTCGGACAAAACCTGAGCCGAGAAATTTAGAAGGACGTGGTATGTCATTAAAAAAAAAAAACAATGCGACTTCAATGATTACTTTTTCATTCTAAAATGTATTTTCCTAAGCTAAATCATACAATGCTGCTTTAGGAATTTATAAATCGATAATGTCAGATTTTATCTGCAGGCGACCACATTTTATTTCTTGAAGCAAACAGTTTATTTCATGTGCGGCCACCTAAAAAAAATGTTAGATGAAATAATCTACTTTAGTATTTTTTTAGGCCTCAACTTTAATTTGTGTACAGTTCCATTGATTGCTTCAACAACTTGAAAATAATACATAGCAAATACTTTTCTGAAATTGTATCACCATTAGGATTCTTCGCAAATATTTTTAGGAAATGTAACTAAGGATGCTGGATTCGAGACCTATAGATGTTTTACTGCACAGAAACAAATACCCTTCTCACTGTCTATTCTAATGCTAAGTAGCAAATCTTGTGACCTCTTTTTACACGATTTGCGTAAAGGGACCCCAGACTCTGATTTTTGTAAAAATATTGTATGATATTGGTATGTTCTGATAAAAACACGTCATTCCATGATTTAAAGAGACATAAGGGCTGAAATGCATTTCGTGCGTGGTAAGGGTCGTTTGTCAAAGTTCTGGATAATATCCATACAACAAACATGATATTAAAAACAGCGAAGAAAGCTTTTGAAGAATATTTTATTTCGATACTGAAACCGCTTAATTATTAATGGTAAAAGTACATAAGCCATTCGGGCAATATTTACAAAATATTTTCAGAACTTTGGAGAGAGTGGTCAGAGCTTTAAATGAAACAGGCTTTTTAAAGACCTACACATTTAATAAGAGTACTTTCTTTATATTGTATATTGGTTTTATAATTATATTTCTGAGATGAGTTATTAGTCGCATATGTATGTTGCTAACATGTCCAGATAAGGATCAATGGTATTGTAAATTTTTCCAGCCATTGAAATCGTGACAGACAACCCGTATTTCGTTGCATACTTCATAAGGAATGCATCAGCAAATCCGCCCTTCGTCACTATCAGTCCCTTAGCTGTTACCATTGCCTTGTAGATTTTCTCTGCAATGGAACCTGCAGCTATCCCTGCATTTGTGATCCCCACTGCCGGCAGTACCACAGTTTTGATGAATGCATAGCTGGCCACCATTACTCCTCCCTTAATCACCCAATGACAAATTTTTGAACTTAAAGGGGTTCTCTTCTTTTCTTCTAGGTCATTCCTGTCCAAACTTGCTACAAATAAATTAATGTATGTTAATTTAACAATCACGTACAAAGCAGAGATGGTGATAATCGGGTAAATTTAAATCATTTTTCCTAAAGAAAGGTTTATAAAATAAATCCCCACAAGAACAAATTTCACATTGATGTTTCAATCTTTCTATGAATAAACTGAACTAGAACCGTCCAAAATGGACAAATACCCCCCGCTGGGTTTTTCGGAGAAGATGCCAAGTCACTAATACTAGTATTTGATGGATGTAAGAGGTGTTCACAATTTGTTTAAACATTTAGAGTGAAAATTTACCGGTAATTGCTCATCATATTTTTTTAATGAATGAAACTTAGGCGCAGCCTAATAAATCATCATTACTAATAACATTGCTTTTTATTACATTGAAAAAAATAAATAACAATTTTCAAGTATTTCTTTTTTGTAAAATATGGATGCATTATTTATCAATTTTTTCAACAATGACAATAGGTCAAGATCATGACACACCCTCAGGTCATAAGCAAGCTTTGTGTGAAGTGGAAACTCCCAACATTATTCTCCGTAAGAAAGATACGGACCGGTCACGTTCGCACAGACAAACAGACGGACAAGATGATTCCTCCCCAAACTTTGTTTGCGGGATAAATTATAAGGTTAAGGTTGATTAAAGATCCCCACTCGGCGAACGAGTTACAAGGCATGAGAAAAAACCACAAAAAATGTTACGTACCTTGAACAACTGGTATGGAAACAATCAAGATCAATAGCAATACTTTAAACTCCATGATAATGCGCCTGTAAAAATCAGATGAGTACAGTTTTGTGTAATCGATGCAATACTAATATTGATTAACAATTAAAATGAAATATTCAATGTTGGTGTCCTTTTTATTTTGCCGATTTATTGATCATTGTTGTTTTTAGGCCAAGTCGACAATATTTCAGCCTAATTCGGCAGTACAAATTTATATTCTATAAACGTTAACAGTTTTGAAAGTTTTGGGGTTTCTCTGGCGGCCCCCAATGAGCCCACTCTTTTGAAAACCAGAGAAACGATATTTAGCGTGTCAAGGGGGTTGTAATCCTTGACACAGGGCCTCATTTAACGTCCCATCCGACGGACTTGAAATTTAAAATCTATGAAAACGATTAAATTGGTTAATACGAAAAATTCTAATAAAAGTATATACATTTAAATCTTGCTGTAAAAATCAGTTTCTTGTAAGTATTGTAGAACTGTACAAGGAATAATGTTTGTAAAAAAACATGCATTGTTTGCACATTATTCAATCTACTTTGCATAGGTGAAAAATCAGTAAATTCTAAAAATCAAAGGATACGGTGTATAGTTATTGCACAATCGCATGATACACATTCAGGTTATTAATTAAAGATCCTTTTCAGGTTCTGACTTTCATCTTGCAAATAAGGAAATAAACAAAAAAACAAAACAAAAAAAATCAAAACACTATCATTGATAACAAGAAGACTTTGTTTTCAGAAATTAAAAAAAAAATGCAGATTCAAGTTTTAAAGTTTAATGAAAATTATTCAGAAAATAACACATAATTTTACCTTTCAAAACAGTGAATAATGTCTTTCGCAGCACCGTAAGAAAGGGTAGAGTCTATAACATAACCCAGTCACAGTTTCCGGGAAAATTATTTCCGGTATGGTTTTCAAATGTACAATTTGCTTCAACACCGAACCCGATTGTATTTTTCGTGACATTGAGGCGGGAAATCCAAGTAAGGAAAAGTTCGAGGTATATGCCGTTATCCTTTCATCTCAGCAACTGTATGAAATGGATGAAGAAACAAGGTAAGAATGTTGTATGAAGATAATTATAATATAGTGAATGTGCGGTATTCAAGAAATTCTCAACACCTGGATAAAGTTTTGTAAAGATATAATCACTGATAATACCCGGACTCAAAGAGAGTGGGTGCCAAATTTAGTCGAGTGTTAACAGTTGCCTTTTATTATTATTATTTTTTTTTTCTTATCCATAGTGACACTTGGAAAGATCTGTTCGATGTAAGATCAACATCACTATCTGGGTATGTGACATCTTCCACAAAATTGGACAAGTTGTTACAGGAGTATGATTATACAACTTCCTCTAGGTTCTGATGTTTAAAAAGTTCCAAACAATTTGGAAAGGATGTTGGTAAGGTCTTGTTGCGATATTTTAAATGCAACTTTAGCAAAATAATTTCTTGAATCTTCTCATTATTGTAACCATTTTAAAATTTAAGCTCACCTGAACCATAGACTCATAGTGTCGGGTGGTTACAATTTGATTCTGTGTTTGACCTGCATGGTTACGACCTATTAAGTGGTTTCGACCTGCTCACAGGTAAGTACATGGGTAGCTGTATATTGATAACATAATGGCTTTTAAATTAATAATTAAAATATGCATTGTCGATAAAAAAAAATCCTATGTAGACAAAAACAAAATGTGAAACTGTTGCAAGTGTTAATTAATTGCTTCAGAACGAAACCACTCGTGTCGAACATGGATTTATGTCGAAACCACGCGGGTCGAACAAGTAATAGGAAGGTAACCATCCCCATTCTAGGCTCACATGAGCTTTTGTGATTGAAATTTGTCCATTGTCTGTGTTGTTGGTGTTTTGGGTGTTGTAAACATTTTAAAAACTTCTCAACTTATTCTCCAGAAAAGTTGAGAAGTTGAACTTAGAAACTTTTTTTATGTATTTGTTCAAAATAACCCCCCCCCCCTTTATCAGATTCACATTTGTTAATACCAATTTACACTGAAAAATCTTTTGCAATTACTGTAGATGTAGGAGAGATTGATAAATCCCTTATCAGATTTGTGGACACACAGGAAAATGCTGAACCCCATATAGAATATGATGCTATCCCTTTCATTATTATGGGCAAAAAAATCTTGGAATGTCACCAGGGATATGACAGAGACAAAAGAAACAACCAAAAGAAACAAAGCAAGACAAGAGAAGATGTAAGTATGCATTATTTATTCTACTTCTAATAAACTATGCATTATTTATTCTACTTCTAATAAACTAATATTGAGGCAAAGATGAGGACTGTGAAGGATAACCCACTGTCTAGGGTTTCACATTACATTTTATGAGAACTAGACCAGCCGGGCTATATCCAGTCTCTGGGGAACAACATAACCCAGTCACTGTTTAACATAACCCAGTCACTGTTCAACATAACCCAGTCACTGAACAACATAACCCAGTCACTGTTTAACATAACCCAGTCACTGTTTAACATAACCTAGTCACTGAACAACATAACCCAGTTACAGAACAACATAACCCAGTCACTGTTTAACATAACCCAGTCACTGAGGAACATAACCCAGTCACTGAGGAACATAACCCAGTCACTATACAACATAACCCAGTCATTGTTCAACATAACCCAGTCTCTGAACAACATAACCCAGTCACTGAACAACATAACCCAGTCACTGTGTAACATAACCCAGTCACTGTGTAACATAACATAACCCAGTCACTGTGTAACATAACCCAGTCACTGTGTAACATAACCCAGTCACTGAGGAACACAACCCAGTCACTGAGGATCATAACCCAGTCTCTGAACAACATAACGCAGTCATTGAACAACATAACCCAGTCACTGAACAACATAACCCAGTCACTGTTTAACATAACCCAGTCACTGAGGAACATAACCCAGTCACTGAACAACATAACCCAGTCACTGAACCTTTATCTCAGCTTAGCTGTTTTTTTTGTAGTCTGACCACACATATAGACGAAAGCGTAGATTGGTGCAGAATAGCAAAAAGAAAGCTTGTCCTGTTCGAATAAAGATTCGTCATGTAAAGTTTTCAAGCTATTTGGTATGTATTAATTTGTATTATAGACTCATTAAAAATTGTATCGATAAATGTAATGTGTTAATATGTTCAGTGTTTATGTGTTAATGTACGTTTTGCTGTTTAATATTTTAAATGAATACAAGACACAATTTACTTTTATATAATTTAAAGCTTTCAAGTAAAGAAAACACACCTCATCATCAAAAGAAACTGGTTAAGAATCTTAAAGAAGACCTGAAAAATTCACAAGTAGAGAAAATTAAACATCGTTTTTATGTACAGTTTCCTGATGTAAAAGATCATAGAAACCATCTAAAAGGAGAGGTAAATAAAGAAAATTATTAATGGTATTACTATCATTTATACTACACTGTCTTATGTCAAGACCTTAACTGATGCATTACAATTTAACTACTTTTTATGGAATTAAAGATTATGGGGCATGTTTTTATTTTAAACTTTAACCTTGCCAATAACTTTTCAACAGTAATTGCTAGGGTTTTCATATTTCACATGTGTATTTCTTGGAACAAGTCCTTTCTTGGGGTTCAAACAAATTAGACATTTTGGGATTTGACATGCTTTCTAAAAAAATTACCCATCTTTAATCATGTTCATAACTTTTGATCCAGTCCTAGGACTTTTATATTTTACATATGTATTCCATGTGACCAGACCTTTCTTTTGGTACAATTTTTTTTTTTTTTTTTACATTTTTCACTTTGACCTTGGAATTTTAGTCTACTTGTGAGAAACTTTAACCTTGACCATAACATATGAATTATTGGTGCTAGAACTTTCATATTGCATTAATCTTTTCCTTGCAGCAAAACATTTTTTTCTGATACCAATATTTTTTATCTGATGATCTTTACCTTGGAATTTTGACCTACTTTTGAAAACTTTAACCTTGGCCAAAATTTTTGAATGGTTGCTGTTAAGACTTTCTTATTTCACATGTGCATTCCTTGTGACAAGGTATTCCTTGTGCATTCCTTGTGACAAGACCTTTCTTTGCATATAAACCATGGGCCTCTTGTTTTTATAATGTAAATAGTTTAAAGATAGCATGATGGACACCAGGCAGCAATGGTTTTCAAGGGATAACCTTAAAAATGTAAATATTTTGCTTTGTTATACCAAATCTATTTAGAATAAAGCATTTAAAAAAAAGAACCCACAGTAAACCGTACGGGCATACATTCTGCCCAATTTTGCACTGTTACCCGTCGTCATGCAATGTCACCGTTGCTATGTAATGTTACGTGGAGGGCATAGTTTACACATGCGGTAGGATAGCAGTACTTTTTAACAAATGTTTTTAAACCGATCAAATTTGACTTAACATGAAAGTATAACAATAAGGTTTGTCTATATTGTTCATGAAAAATTAACATTTTTTTGTTTATAGACTGAACAGTCCATGAAACTGGTTAACATTTTGTGTGAATGGCCAAGGATGGATCTTCCCATAAACAAGGGAACAGGAAACATACACGGCTACAATATAGCAACTCTGGTAATTTTTAGTATCTGTTGCATGCATGGTTATCTAACAGCCCTGGGTTCAGAATTTAATTTTCTTATTTGTCACTCAATTTTACTGTTTATTTCACACAATCATATGGTGTGATCTGACTTTCTGATCAGTTTTCTGAATCCATATCACCACTTTCTGAAACTGACTCAATTTTCAGGTCAAGTTAGAGAAATTTATAAAGAATTGATGTTTAGATATATGAACAGCATGATATATATAAAAAAGCTCAACAATGAAGATTAGAGTTAAAAAGGGGATAGTATAGCCTGCTCTAAGTTATTAGTAATAGTTCTATAACACTACCTGTTTATGGCAGAGAGATTTTCAGGAGAAAAATTTCCTATACTTATTTAAAAATTTTAACAGTTTGCAAAAGACATCAAAACAAACCTGAAGGAAATATTGGAATTAGAAGAGGGTGATAAGAGGTAAATAATAAACATTGTAAGCAGCCTATTTACTTTTAAATTGTCTTCATTAAAATTATGGGCAATAAAATGAGATTCCATTCATTGGAAATTAAAGAGATTTTATTGTATGTCTTTCATATATAGTTTAACACTGTTTCATGCACTTTGGTTTACAAGATGTACCGTAACCGTTAAATTAACTTGATCAAGTGTTGTAATATTATTCCTTTTACAGGTGTTATGAACCACACTGGAGACATCTGCGATGGATTGACAGGAATGACTTGACCGACCATAATGTGATGAATAACTCTGTGAAAGGAATGGAAGAAAGAAATAAACTTTTTCATAAAGAGGTAACCTCCATATGTGCTCTCTGTAGATTTTAATGTATAAGCATACAATGTATTTTACAAGGCTAGTCCTGCATATTCTTGCTCATGTGCAGGTGTTGTTATGGATACTGATTTATAACATGATTGTTTTTCTTTTTTATTGAACAGAGTCTTTCTGTACTCATGATATATATATATATATATATATATATATATATATATATATATATATATATATATATATATATATACTCACACAGTTGAACTTCAGTATCTCGAACACGGATATCTTGAAGCTTATGGATATGTCGAAGTGATTTGGAAGTCCCAAGCACTTAATATCTTAAGTATTTTACCCCCAATATCTCGAACCCTCAGATATCTCGAAGTTTATTCTCGGTCCCATTGAGTTGGAAATAATGAGGTTTGACTGTATATATATATATGCGTGAGCGTGTGTGTGTGGGGGGGGGGTGTTTGTGTTAGAGAAGGAAACAAGTTTATTTGCCTATTTTTTTCCCCTTCCAATAGAGATGGGCTGAAAAGAGTGCTCTTGGTTTAGAAGAATTTTTGGCTTATTTAAACCAAAAACAATCATGTAAGTCTCAATTTAATTTGCTATTCTACATTATATAGCTATATAAACTTACCATTGAAGATGAATCTTAACCTGTCACCTTTAGAGCTTTGTGAATATTTAACTCTTAGAGTTAAGTAAATTGTCATCAAGACTTCATATAAGTCCGACTAAGATTTATAATTAAATTTCTAGACATACATCATCAGTACATCTGCTTACTAAGGATTGATTTCAAGAGGTAGACATAATGTACCCATTAAAGAATATTGTATGTTCTGTAAATAATTTTTTTTGGTGATAACTTTATTTTTGCATATTAGCGAGACTGTTTGTAGGGGAAAATTTCATTCACACATAATATTCCTCTTATAAAGATTATATAGGGCAGATACCAAAAGTTGTGAAAATTTTGTTTCGCTTGTAAATACCAAGTAAAAGAAGCACACATTTTGCACCAAGTTAATTCCACTCTCCCTTTTCAACAAATTAAAGACGACTAAGTCATGTTCATGCAGCATTCTTCATTGTACTTCTTTAATAAAAAAAAATTTGTCGATTTTAGTGGTCTCTTCAGTCCTCCAGGATATTACCTTAGTTTGAAAAACTGCAATAATGGAAAGCTTATGGCAACACTGGAAGATGAGTATGATATTTTTTATTTATCCTTGTTGAAGAAAATGGAGAGGCGTATTGTGTAATGTCAGTCAGGGGTTATCTTTGTAACTAAATTGTTAACTTTTAAAGTAAACCATATGTCTCCTCATATCCATAATTTAATCATAATTCATATCTGATTTTTTCTTGATTTGATTGATCGCCATAGACAACTTTATTCTTAATTATTTTCATTCTCTTTTAGGACAGGACAGAGATTGAATGAAGGAGTTAGATACTTTAAGGATGTATTGCTTGTAGAAGCAAGAATCATTATCGCTTCTGTTGTCAAGAACATAACATATAGAGAAGTTGAAGAACTTCTCTATCCATTGAAATAACAAATTTATGTTTCGATTGATTGAGTTTGCAAATTTGTTATATTGGAATATTTCGATTGTGATAGCTTTGCAAAAGATGTTCTACATCAATTGCTATATGACATGTTGAACAATATTTGTTTGCAGATTCTTTACAGTTATTATATATCACCATCTAATGAAATATTGTTATGATGTAAAATGGACTCTGTCAGGGCTGATCAATTGTACTTGGTTACTCTAGATGAACTCATAAACTCTAATAATTGTGATTTCATTCAAATCCAAATCCACACCAGACCCAGACTGTTTTATCATTAATTCCTACTAGAAACATTAGTTTAAATGTAGGAAGAATTTGATAAAATTTGATGTAATTTGACTTTGAAAATATCTATTAAAGTTTTGTTTTTCTGACAAGTGAAATGAATTTCACATGCAGAATTCATACCATTGGATTTGGGTGTAATTTAAAAGGAACACTTGTGCAGCCATGCATTATTTCTTAAATAGTACCATGTATGTATTTGTATGGTCTTAATATTGTGTGGCCATTTTTTCCCCCTAGGATTAATTGATCTAAATATTTTTATCTTTAAGTTCCTCAGTGACGAAAACCAATTTGTATAAAAATTGGGAGCAGAGCTCTAGAAAAAGGCTTAACATTAGTTTATGTTCCAAATAATGATTGTGTCAAATAAATTATTTTCCTTACCACTTTTGTATATATGCCTTATACATGGAAACCAAATTATGCCGTTAATTCATATTCAGTGCTTGGGTTTTGTTTCACAGTGACTGGGTTATGTTGTATAGTGACTGGGTTATGTTCCTCAGTGACTGGGTTATGCTGTTCAGTGACTGGGTTATGTTCCTCAGTGACTGGGTTATGTTGTTCTGTGACTGGCTTATGTTAAACAGTGACTGGGTTATGTTGAACAGTGACTGGGTTATGTTAAACAGTGACTGGGTTATATTAAACAGTGACTGGGTTATGTTGTTCTGTGACTGGCTTATGTTAAACAGTGACTGGGTTATGTTGAACAGTGACTGGGTTATGTTAAACAGTGACTGGGTTATGTTGTTCAGTGACTTGGTTATGTTGAACTGTGACTGGGTTAGGTTTCCCAGTGACTGGGTTATGTTCCTCTGTGAGTGGGATATGTTAAACAGTGACTGGGTTATGTTGAACAGTGACTGGGTTATGTTAAAAATTGACTGGGTTATGTTCAGTGACTGGGTTATGTTTTTCTGTGTCTGGGTTATGTTGAACTGTGACTGGGTTAGGTTTCCCAATGATGGGTTTTGTTGTACAGTAACTGGGTTATGTTTCTCAGTGACTGGGTTATGTTCCTCTGTGACTGGGTTATGTTGCGCAGGGACTGGTTTATGTTGCTCGGAGACTGAGTTATGTTGTTCAGTGACTGGGTAATATTGTTCAGTGACTGGGTTATATATCTCTGTGAGTAAGTTATGTTGTTGAGTGACAGGATTATGTTTCTCTGTGACTGGGTAATGTTGTTCAAAAACTAAGTTATGTTTCTCAGTGACAGGGTTATGTTGTTATATGACTGGGATGTGTTAAACAGTGACTGGGTTATGTTAAAAAGTGTCTGGGTTATGTTAAACAGTGACTGGGTTATGTTGTTCAGTGACTGGGTTATATTAAACAGTGACTGGGTTATGTTGTTCATTGACTGGGTTATGTTAAACAGTGACTGGGTTATGTTGTACAGTGACTGGGTTATGTTGAACAGTGACTGGGTTATGTTAAACAGTGACTGGATTATGTTGAACAGTGACTGGGTTATGTTGTTCAGTGACTGGGTTATGTTAAACAGTGACTGGATTATGTTAACAGTGACTGGGTTATGTTAAACAGTGACTGGGTTATGTTGTACAGTGACTGGGTTATGTTGAACAGTGACTGGGTTATGTTGAACAGTGATTGGATTATGTTAACAGTGACTCGGTTATGTTGTTCAGTGACTGGGTTATGTTAAACAGTGACTGGGTTATGTTGAACAGTGACTGGGTTATGTTGAACAGTGACTGGATTATGTTAACAGTGACTCGGTTATGTTGTTCAGTGACTGGGTTATGTTAAACAGTGACTGGGTTATGTTGAACAGTGACTGGGTTATGTTAAACAGTGACTGGGTTATGTTGAACAGTGACTGGATTATGTTAACAGTGACTGGGTTATGTTAAACAGTGACTGGATTATGTTGAACAGTGACTGGGTTATGTTGTTCAGTGACTGGGTTATGTTGAACTGTGACTGGGTTATGTTGAACTGTGACTGGGTTAGGTTTCCCAATGATGGGTTTTGTTGTACAGTAACTGGGTTATGTTTCTCAGTGACTGGGTTATGTTCCTCTGTGACTGGGTTATGTTGCGCAGGGACTGGTTTATGTTGCTCGGAGACTGAGTTATGTTGTTCAGTGACTGGGTAATATTGTTCAGTGACTGGGTTATATATCTCTGTGAGTAAGTTATGTTGTTGAGTGACAGGATTATGTTTCTCTGTGACTGGGTAATGTTGTTCAAAAACTAAGTTATGTTTCTCAGTGACAGGGTTATGTTGTTATATGACTGGGATGTGTTAAACAGTGACTGGGTTATGTTAAAAAGTGTCTGGGTTATGTTAAACAGTGACTGGGTTATGTTGTTCAGTGACTGGGTTATATTAAACAGTGACTGGGTTATGTTGTTCATTGACTGGGTTATGTTAAACAGTGACTGGGTTATGTTGTACAGTGACTTGGTTATGTTGAACAGTGACTGGGTTATGTTAAACAGTGACTGGATTATGTTGAACAGTGACTGGGTTATGTTGTTCAGTGACTGGGTTATGTTAAACAGTGACTGGATTATGTTAACAGTGACTGGGTTATGTTAAACAGTGATTGGGTTATGTTGTACAGTGACTGGGTTATGTTGAACAGTGATTGGATTATGTTAACAGTGACTCGGTTATGTTGTTCAGTGACTGGGTTATGTTAAACAGTGACTGGGTTATGTTGAACAGTGACTGGGTTATGTTGAACAGTGACTGTATTATGTTAACAGTGACTCGGTTATGTTGTTCAGTGACTGGGTTATGTTAAACAGTGACTGGGTTATGTTGAACAGTGACTGGGTTATGTTAAACAGTGACTGGGTTATGTTGTTCAGTGACTGGGTTATGTTGAACAGTGACTGGGTTATGTTGTACAGTGACTGGGTTATGTTGAACAGTGACTGGGTTATGTTAACAGTAACTGGGTTATGTTAAACAGTGACTGGATTATGTTGAACAGTGACTGGGTTATGTTGTTCAGTGACTGGGTTATGTTGTACTGTGACTGGGTTATGTTGAACTGTGACTGGGTAAGGTTTCCCAATGATGGGTTTTGTTGCACAGTAACTGGGTTATGTTTCTCAGTGACTGGGTTATGTTCCTCTGTGACTGGGTTATGTTGCGCAGGGACTGGTTTATGTTGCTCGGAGACTGAGTTATGCTGTTCAGTGACTGGGTAATATTGTTCAGTGACTGGGTTATATATCTCTGTGAGTAAGTTATGTTGTTGAGTGACAGGATTATGTTTGTGACTGGGTAATGTTGTTCAAAAACTAAGTTATGTTTCTCAGTGACAGGGTTATGTTGTACAGTGACTGGGTTATGTTTCTCTCTGGGGTATGTTGTTGAGAGACTGGGTTATGTTGCTCGGGGACTTGGTTATTTTAATCAGGGACTGGGACTTGGTTTTCAGTAACTGGGTTATATTTTTCAGTGACTGGGTTATGTTGAACTGTGACTGGGTTAGGTTTCCCAGTGACTGGGTATTGTTGTTCAGTGACTGGGTTATGTTGTCAGTAAGTTTTTTATCATCTTTTACAGTGTATTTCAAAGCTGTAAAATAGGATTTAAATAAATTTAGAAAACCCTGAATATCTACTAAATTATGTGTGTTCATTATCTCACAGTTGAACACTGAACTGGTTATGTTATTGACTGGATATAATATGTTGAACAGTGACTAGGTTAGGTTTTCCAGTGACTGAGTTAAGTTTCACAGTGACTAGGTTATGTTGTTCAAAGAATAGATTATGTTGGTTTGTGACTGGGAAATTTTTTTTCTGTGACCTAATGGCTATAAACCAGGGTCATATTAAAGAATCATCACTTCTTGTAAAACTGCAGGTCAACAAGTTATGGATTTTTGTTTTTTTTCACTGTACGTGATTGTCTTTATGGGCGGGATTCCTTTTACCCTCGGAAGGTTAGCGTAAGAAATAATTATTGAGAAATTCAAATCTTTACACACATGCTAACTAGGTCACTAGTTCTACCAGTGGCTAACTGTTAGGCCATGAAAACGCAATCTATTAATTTATCACGTTATAACTATTAAATACCCTAATCTTCGTGAAAGTCGTTCATTCGCCTGAATGTCCTAATATTAAGACTCCGATTATGGCTATTGATCGTATTATTTGCCACACATAACCATAATGTTTACAAAACTGCATCGGGATCGAATATGCGCTATATTACAAAAAACCATACCGGAAATAATTTTCCCGGAAACCGTGACTGGGTTATGTTATAGACTCTACCGTAAGAAAGTAACCGTGTTAAAATATCCTTGTGACCAAACAGACCTAAATTAATAACATCATGTGAGTGAAATACAACGTGCAATATTTTCATTGGCCAGTTATTTCAACTTTTTTATTTCGCTGTGGAAACGACGATAAAGAGTCGGAAGAACACAAAAAGAAAGTAAACGTTTTCGGAAAAACCCATTTTATTATCCACAGAAATTGGGAGAAAAAGTCCTTTCCTTTTCTCTTTAAATTTTGATTTATGTTTATGTAAAAGGAAAAAAAGTAACCCAGTTGGAATACCCTTGTGACCTAATCTTTTTAAATTTTTAGCACCATGAAAAATTGCAACGAACAACGTTTTTATGGTAAATATGTATTAGCG